TCTCTCGCTCTCTCGCTCTCTCTCTCTCTCTCTCTCTCTCTCTCTCTCTGTGTGTGTGTGTGTGTGTGTGTGTGTGTGTGTGTGTTGGCAAAGGGATATTTGTAGTAGGTTTGGTTTTCTTGGTTGGGTTTTTATGGCTCCTTTTAAAATCATTTTGCAGTTTTTGAGCATACTGGCCAAATTATTAGAAGGTAATCTTTTTTTTGTTGTTTTGAGACAGGGTCTTCTCTACTTAGCCCTAGCTGTCCTGGAACTTACTATGTAGACCAGGCTGGCCTTGAACTCACAGAGATCCACCTGACTCTGCCTCTCTAGTGCTGGGATTGAAGGCCTGAACTACCACACCCAGCTTTAGAAGGTAATATTTATTGGTTTGGAGTTTATTTGTTTGTTTTTTGACATAGCTCAGGTTTGCCTTAGACTCTTATTTGTTGAAAGGATGGCCTTGATTTTAAAAAATGTGGTATGTGTGTATGTGTTTACATATCTGCGTGCATATGAGTGCAGGTGCCCACAGAAGCTAGACATCAGATCCCTGTAGAGCTGGAGTTGCAGGCAGTTGTGAGCTGCTTGACATGAGTGATGGGAATTGAACTCTGGTCCTGTGGAAGAGAGCAGTACACTGAGCCATCCTTTAGTCCTGCTCCCCTCCCCCAAAGATTTTTGTTGTTGTTGTTTCAAGACAGGGTTTCTCTGTAACTCTGGCTGTCCTGGAACTCCCTCTATAGACCAGGCTGGACTTGAACTCACAGAGCTTCACCTGCCTCTGTCTCCCAAGTGCCAGGATTACAGGCATGTGCTATCACACCCAGCAAAAGATTTATTTTTATTTTATTTATTTATTTATTTATTTATTTATTGGTTTTTCGAGACAGGGTTTCTCTGTGAGGTTTTGGAGCCTATCCTGGCACTCGCTCTGGAGACCAGACTGGCCTCGAACTCACAGAGATCCTCCTTCCTCTGCCTCCCAAGTGCTGGGAATAAAGGCGTGCGCCACCAACGCCCCGCAATATTTATTTTTATTTTATGTACATGGATGTTTTGCCTACATGTATATGTGTGCACCATGTGCATACCTGATGCCTGTGGAAGCCAGAAGAGGGCATTGGATCCCCTTGGAGTTGGAGTTACAAACAGCATAAGGAACCATGTGGGTCCCAGAAATTAAACTCTGATCCTCTAGACGAGCAGTAGCCAGTGCTTTTAATTACTGAGCCATCTCTCCAATACCTACTTATTTTCCTTTTGAACCAGGCAATGGTGGTGAATGTCTTGAATCCCAACACTTGGGAGGCAGAGGCAGGCGGGTCTCTGAGTTTGACACCAGCCTGGTCTCCAGGGTGAGTTGCAGGATAGCCAGATCTACACAGAGAAACCCTGTTTTAGAAAAGCAAACAAAAAAATTGTGAAATTGTAAGGTGTTAATGAGGTGCTTTTTTTGGCTTTAGGGATAAGAAAGAGCTAATACTGATAAACTCAAAGGTCACATAGGTTTGGCCTGAGCAAAGTCTATTTGCTGTTTTAGCACTATTTTTTTTTTTTTTTTTTTTTTTTTTTTTTTTTTTTTTGAGACAGGGTCTTGCCTTGTAGCCTGGCTGGCCTGGAGTTTACTTGCTATATAGATCAGACTTGTCTCAAACTCAGAGTGCTGGGATTAAAGGCAGAGTCACTGAGTCTGGCTTGTTTTAGTATTCCTGTTTGAGATCTTCCTCAAAGGTGGGGGATATTGTTGTAGGCTATCTTTTGGTGTCTTGACAGTTACATGGACATTCTTAACTCTCAGCCAATGAAAAATAAACCTGATTGTGGTAGTGAGAGGCTGTGTGTTTCTCCCATGTTCTCTTAGCTTTCCCTGTCTTTCTTTCCTGCCTCAAGTCTTCTCCCAAAATTCTTCTCTGTCCAGGGCTCAGGATCAAATACTAGGCAAGTGCTTTACTGAATCACACCCCTGTCTTCTTTTTAATTCTCTTAAGTTTTCGGCCCTTGAGTTTGTGATCTTCTAGTCTCAGCCTTCCAAGTAGCTGGGATTATGTTTGTGAGTCATCCTGCTAGCCTCAGAATACTTCTGTTTTCCTGCAGTGCTGAAGGTGGCACAATAGGATGAAGACCTTGTGGATGAAGAGACCAGGTTATAAGACAGAAGGCCAAGTGGGACCATGGCCGGGAGGAAACAGGGAATAGAGACTTTGGGATCACAGGGAAGTCACTGTAGCAGGTGCCACAGGTGCAAAGCCTTCAGCCTATGTGGCATCGTGCAGCTCCCTACATGCTCACTCCTTGTTCCCTCTGTCTTACAGCTGACTACAGTGGTCAGGGCTGCTGTGGCTGTCAGGATGGCAGAGGAGCAGGACTTTTTCCAGCTGTGCAAGCTGCCAACACAGCCCTCCCACTCACACTATGTCAGCAACACCTATCGAAGCACACAGCACTCCCAGGCCCTGCTCCGGGGCCTGCTTGCTTTGAGAGACAGTGGGATCCTCTTTGATGTTGTCCTGGTGGTAGAGGGGAGACACATTGAGGCTCATCGAATTCTGCTGGCTGCATCATGTGATTATTTCAGGTAAGCTATGTTTATTTTTTCAATGTTTTTATTAATGGGTTTCATTATGATACTCTCGTACATGTATATAATGTGTTTTGATCATATTCTCCTTAGTACTCTTGTTCCACTCCCAGTGACTGCCTTCTTCCCTACTAGTCCTCCTTCTACATTTCTGTTTTGTTTTTGTAGAGCCACTGAGTGTATTAGGGTCTCTAGCAGGAGAGTTGGGTGAAAGGTTATTTAGTGACATGAGGAGTACCTTACTGGTGGCTGTCTTCCCTCAGCAACCACTGTGTATAGATCCTCAAGGAGGAGAAGCCTTATGCACTCCTCCCCTGTAACAGTTTCTGTAGGACTGATAAAAGGTAGTCTTAGCTTTACCAAGTGTGGTTACTGGTACTGGAGGTGGCTGGGTCTTCTCTTTCCTTTGAGGCTCTCAGCTGTGGAGACTCCACCAACCAGCCTGGCACAGAAGAGATCTTAAGAGTTTGTCTTTCAGTTTGGCTCTCTGCTGGGTATGTTCTCATTTTTCAAAACTGCATCATTACTGGCTTGACTTCCATTGTTGTTGGGAGGTTTTGTTTTGTTTTCAAGACAGTTTCTCCATGTAACTCTGGCTGTCACTCTGTAGACTAGACTGGCCTCCAACTCAGACATCTACCTGCCTCTGCCCCCCTACCATGACTGGCTTTTGGGGTATGTGTGTGTGAGAGAGAGTTTTCTTTTTACTTTACTGTGGGCTTAAAGCCATGGAAATTGAAAGAATAGTGTGTGATGAGCATAATAATTGCCAACATTTTGCTACATTGCTTTCCATCTCTTTATATGCATGTACCTGCTTTCGAGATGTGATGATACTTTCCCCCTGACCCCATTATAATGCCATCTAAGAGGTCTGCAAAAGCCACAATCACTCCTCTGATATCTTCTCAATGCTAAGGCCCAAAGCTAGAAAAGTATTACTGTATAGATACTATCCACACATCTACACTTTGCTTAAAATCTCTTTTTCCCTGGCCAACTACTTTCTGTCTTATAACCCCAGTTGCTAAAATTCCTTCCCAGGAGATATAAGCAATGTCCACTCCTAAGATCCCAACAACAAACTGGAACATAATTCCATTGAATTCACTCTGGGGAACCAATGAGTTTAGTGGGTTTTCTTTAGAGCATAGATGAGGGGTTTCTTACAGGGATGTGGGTTCTCCTCCCCCAAGAGTCAGCACCCGAAAAGCCTTTACCCATCAGGTATGAGGCCTCCTTGTAGCTGCAGAGATGGAGTTCCTCCCCTAGTCTTCCCCAGTCTAATTAACACTCCTGGAATTATGTGCAATTAAGCCAGTGTTGCATATAACGGGAGGTAGGGAGAGTTGAGTGCTCATGTAGGGAATCTCATGACCCTCCCCATTTCTGAGTGGGGGGGAGATGTAAACAGTCAATAAGTCCAACTGGGATAATCTTTTTACAAGGAGGTTCAGCTGAACACCCCAAGATGATGATTGCTTGGTTTGGAAGAAAATCACTTACAGCAACTTCCCATAATCAGGTGTTAGCCTTTGACCTTTCTAATAGGCTTCTTGTATGATCCCATGTCAGTATTTGACACATTGGGAAGAACTAGGAGTTGGTTTGTCTGTTTCACACTCTAGAGCTGGAGTCTGTCACCCATTCCTTCCGTTAGTTCCTAACTTGTATTATTAGTCAGCATTCTCCAGAGAGACAGAATCAACATGATGTAGCTATATGGGAGAAGAGTGGAAAAACTGACTCATGATTGTAGAGACGAGAAATCCTATGACAGGCAGTCTAACAGCTGAAAAATCTTGGCATTCCATAGCTCAAGGCAAATATGAATGTTTGAAACAGGAAGGCTGTGTAATTTGCAGTGTGAGGCTCTCGGCTTGAGAACCTCAAGGAGTTTGGTTTAAGGGTAAAGGGCAGAGTTCCTGAGTTCCTATGTCCAAAGTCAAGAGATGAGATTGGATTTGTCCCATTTAGTTCATGCCAGTCTCTGCTAGAAAAGGTATCTATAATCTAGTTACATTGATGACTAAAATGAGCCGTCACAGGCTGAGCATGGTGGCACACTCCTTTATTTAATTCCAGCACTCAGGAGAGAGTACATGAGGGTGAGAAGTGATAGTGAGGCTCTGCCCCTGCTACTCCATTGGTCTCAGCAACACCAGCTCAGCTGCTGGTTAGCTAGGATTCCTGTACCTGTTGGAGAGTGCTGAGACTAAAGGTGTAGACCACCACTGCTTGACTCTTTTAAGTGTCTTATGTGGGTTGGTTTTTTTTTTTTTTTTTTTTTTTTTTTTTTTTTTTTTTTTTTTTTTTTTTGTCATGCTAGAGAGTGAGTCAGGACCTCATGCATGCTAGGCCAACATTATACCTGTGAATTCTATCTCTAGCTTCTTTAAGTGTGTATTTTTACCATAAATTTAATTACAAGAAAGTGGAAAATACATAAGTAAAGAATTAAATGAGCCTAGTATGGTGGTATTTGTTTGTAATCCCAGCACACAGGAGGCTGAGGCAGAAGGATTATGAGTTTGAGGCCAGTCTAGTCTACAGAGTGACAGCCAGAGATTTTTTTTCCTACTGATTTTTACTTTTGAAATATGTTGATTCTGCATAGTGGCTGAAAGACAAAGCGCTTGGCCCTCAGCCTGGTTATCATTTATGAACATTGTTAAAGATTTATCTCAAAGGAAAGGCCAGACAGCAAGACTTTTTTATTTTGTTGTTGTTTTTTGAGACAGGATTTTACTATGTAGCTTTGGATGGCCTGGATCTTGCTCTGTAGACCAGACTGGCCTTCAACTCAGAGACATGCCTCTTGAGTGCTGGATTTAAAGGTGTACACAACTACACCTGGCTCTCCCCTCACATTTTATCTCTAAATACTCTGGTTTATCAAAGGGTGTTCTCACACATCTGTAAAACCATTTTCAGCCTCAGAAAACTTAGCTGTGCTGGGGATGTAACTCGATGGAATGTTTGTCATGTATGAAACCCTGAATTTGATCTTCAGTACCATGTAAACTGGGCATGTTGGTACTTAGGTGAGTAGTAGAGGCAGAAGGATCAGGTGATTCTCAATTACATATTGGGTTCTAGGCCAACCTGGGTTACCTGAGACCCTGTTTCCAAAAGGGAGGTGCAGAGAGAAAGTTTTAAGTTGAATTGTATTTCACCTGATACTGAGTCTTATTTTTTTAAGATTTATTTATTTATCATATATATTACAGTGTTCTGCCTGCATGTATGCTATGCCTGCCTGCCAGATGAGGGTACCGAGTAGATCTCATTACAGATGGTTGTGAGCCACCATGTGGTTGCTGGGAATTGAATTTAGGTCCTCTGGAACAGTAGCCAGTGCAGTTAACTTCTAGTCACCTCTCCAGGACCCTGATACTGAGTTTTAATAGCTTTCAAATGTCTCAGAGCTTCTTCCCACAACCCTCATTCTGGGTCCAGAAAGGACCATGTGGTAGCTTCTTCTTTACTATTATTACTGCTTTCTTTTTTTCAGCCCAGTCTGGCCTTGAACTCCTTAATTGTGCCTCCATTATCTTAGTTCTAGGATTTTAGGCATGCAGCACCATGTCTGGTTTTAAGTTTTTGTTTTTTGGTGATAGGGTCTTTTATGTTTTTAGCTCAAGATGGCCTACTTGGTGTGTAGCTCAGGCTATTATCAAACTTGTGAAGTACCACGTCTGCTGCTGCTTTTTGGTTTTGTTGTTGTTGTTGTTTTCGAGACAGAGTTTCTCTGTGGCTTTGGAGGCTGTCCTGGGGCTAGCTCTTCTAGACCAGTTGGTCTCGAACTCACAGAGATCTGCCTGCCTCTGCCTCTGAGTGCTGGGATTAAAGGCATGCGCCACCACTGCCCAGCTTTGTTTTGTTTTTTTAGATTTGGCTTTCACTATTTAGCCCATGCTGGCCTGGAACTCATAGAGATCCTCCTGCCTCTGTTTCTGAGGGTTAGGATTAAAAGTCTGTACCAACATTAATGGCCCTGGCCCTGGCCCTGTTTTTAAATTTGGTTTAATTTTGTTTATTTGCTTGTTTTTGGACAAAGGGTCTTTTTATGTAGTCTTGGTTGGCTAGAACTCTCTGTATGGACTAGACTAGCTTAAAACTGGAAGCATTTCTTCAGTTCCTGTTTCTGGAGAGCTAAGCATATTTGTGTGAGCTCTGCCCACAACTGCTCAGGGTACTGCTGTCTGCTCTTACCAGTAACTTGGAGGTCTAGGCAGAGAAGTCAACAAGGGAAGTCTTTGCAGCAGTAGCTCTGGAAAGTCCAGACTACAAAATGCAAGAGAAATGGCAAGAGGCTGGCAAAATGTGGAGTATCTAGAAATAAGTTTAACTTGGGCTTAGTCTGTAGGACTTTGGAAGCATGCCAGGCTTCTGAAAGAAAACCCAAGCATAACTGGACATAGAAAAGGACCATTGTGTTCCTTGCAAAGAGCTAGTTCTCTGCATTAATCTCAGTGTTTACTATGTTCCCAAGAGGATTTGTTGGGGGTAAATTACACAAACTTGTTATAAACTTGAAAAGAAAAAGCAAGCAATTGTCAGGAAATTGTTGATGCGGCAGTAATGAAGGGAGATTAGCTCTGTCCTACCTGTATTGGCTATAATATGAATGTTTAGGACTTGAAACTGTTTCTGTTGATGAAAGAGAAGGAAATATAGAAAAAGCCAGGAAATTCAGAAATATCACAAATATAACTGGAACTCTGCACGTGACAAAAATGACATTGTAAATCAAGGGAGGGACAATAGATACCACCATTGCAACTGGAAGAACACAGTTGGACCCTTGCTTGTTGCTTACTTATACAAACGTTAGTGCCAAGTGATCAATAGTTTTGTTTTGCAGTGCTAAGGATTATACCCAGCAGTCTTGGCACGTGCTAGATAGGTGCTCTGTTAAGGGTTACACTACCAGTCTGATGTATGTGAGGATGTCTGCTGGTATTCGCCCATGTCGAGGACAAAGGTCAACCTCTCAGACTTCTTCCAGTGCTCTTCATCTTATTCCAGTTTTTGAAGTGGTCTCTTACTGAACTGACCAGTGAGCCCCTGAGTCCTTTACATCGCTGGGGTGACAGGGCTTTGTTGCAATGTCCAGTTTTTAATGTGAGTTGGGATCTGATCAGGTCCTGATGAGTCAGATCATTACCATTGCACTCTCTCTCCAGCCTGCAAGCCTGAGTTGAAGTGTTTAATAGTAAATAGCAAACTAGAGGGAGATACAGAGAAGTATTTGCTAATATAATCTCAGAGGGAAAAGCCATTCTAAGTTTGACACAAACATAGTAACAAGAATTGAAACGTATATATTTGAGTACACTTAAAATAGATAGCTAGACATGGTACTATACACCTATATAGTCCCAGCATTCACAAGGTTGACGCTAACCTGGACAACATAGGTTTGTTTTTGTTTTTGTTTTTTAAATTTATGTATAATGCATAGTGTTCTGCCTGCATGTATCCCTGTAGGCCAGAAGAGGGCATCAGATCTCATTATGGATGGTTGTGAGCCATCATGTGGTTGTTGGGAATTGAACTCAGGACCTCTTGAAGAGCAGCTGCCAGTCCTCTTAACCTCTGAATCATCTTTCCAGCCCGACCACATATTTTTAAGTTATCTTAAAAAATAAAATTAAAAAAAAAAAACCCAAAACCAAATTTCTCAGCCAATCTTCCCAGCACTTCAGGAGGCAGAGGCAGGCAGATCTCTGAGTTCAAGGCGAGCCTGGTCTACATAGCAAGTTCAAACATAGCTGGAGCTTAACTAAAACAAAAACAAAAACCCATCTAAACAAAAACCAAAACCTGCCAAATTTCTACAGGTCAGAAATCTTCAGGAAAGAAAGTTGACCTCACTCTTGAAAAGACCTCTCTTCCAGATAAGAGATTATAGTAGAAAACTAGCAGAATTCTAGCTTGTTCAGAGAGACTATTGGAATGACTTTTAACAATGTGATAAGATTTTTTAAATTCCATTTATAATAGTATTTATTCTCATGGTGGCAGAATTAGAGCCAGTATTTTCTGGCTCTTAGCATGTTTGTAGATGGTTTGGGGGCCAGGTTCCTAGCTCCAATGTGGGGAATGATAGAAGATCAGGTGAATAGGACTGTTGAATTGTGAATGCATGTTAACTTTTTGGTTCAGCATCCACATTTGTGGAAATTAATCCTACTAGTTATGATTATGATCCTGGACATTTAGGGAAAGAAGAGAACAGCATACAAGACAAGGGCTTCTTGTTGTTTTGTTTTTTTCAAGACAGGTTTTCTCTGTGTAGCCTTGCCTTTGCCTCCAATTAAGGCAAGGGTTTCTTAAGATGTATAGTCATGCTTAAGTGTTGTTTCTATGGTCGATGTATTTGATTTTTGTGGCTAAATGATATATCTCAAAAGATATAATTTACTACAATAGTTTAAGCTTTCATAAATCTTAAATTTTAAGTAAAGCTTAAAACTTAAATAAAAATCAGGCCAGAGAGATAGTTCTGCAGACAGTGGCCCTTGCCACTCTTATGCCCATATCATGAGTCCCCCAGAGACCACCAGGAATCCAAGTTTGTACGCAAAAGTAAAGAAGAGCCTTTATTGCAAGCTCCAGCTTGGATTTTTTTTTTTTTTTTTTTTTTTTTTTTTTTTTTTTTTTTTTGGTTTTTCGAGACAGGGTTTCTCTGTATAGCTTTGGAGAGCTTGGACTTTCTGTCTGTCCCGACACAGTGTTTAGATCAGGGAAAGCATTGAGCTCAGTGATAGCAGGGTTTTAAGGAGTAAAGAATGGGGAGGGGGAGGGGAATTCTGGGTTCAAATGGGGGTTGAACTCCTGATTGGGTAGGAGTGGGGTAACAGAAGTCTTGTCAAACAGGGGTTGGTGGCTGTAAGGAAATTGGCAACCTATATGCAAGCTAGGTAAGCTATTCTTAATGTTCAGGAGCATCTAGTACTTGTTTGTCTCAATTCTGATTGGTCCCCTGCAGGGTACAGTCTGTGGCTTTTCCTGGTTATTGTAAGGGTGAGGCTGAGTCCCCATATTGTTAGCCTGCAGCCTATCGTGGCTGCACTGATGTTAAGTTAGGCTTCTTCAGCCACAGAGCCTGAAGGCCTGAATTCAACCCTGGGACTCGCATGGTGGAAGGAGAGAACTGACTCCTGCAAATTATCCTTTATACTCCACATGACATGCTTGCACGCGTACTCTCTCACATAAAGTAAGTAAAGAAGTAAAACATATATCTGGCTTACTCCCTACTTGAATTTCCTTTTGTAAATAGAAGCATAAAATGATTTTATGAGGTGCATTCTTTAGATTTTGAGAGAGATCCTAATATAGTTAAACTGAAGGTTTCAAACAGTTTGACCCTAAGTAAGCATAATTCATTTATTGTTGGGTTTTGTTTGTTTGTTTTTTGAGACAGACTTCTTCTATGTAGCTCTGGCTGTCCTAGAACTCATTATGTAGACCAGGCTGGCCTACAACTCACAAAGGTCCATCTGCCTTGCCTCCCTAGCACTGGGATTAAAGGTATGTGCCACCACACCTGGCTTGTTGTTGTTTAATATTTTTTAATGATTTATTTGTTTTTATTTTATATGTGTTGACGTTTTGCCTGCCTGTCTGTGTGAAGGTGCAGATCTGCTGGGGATGGAACTACAGACAGTTGGGAGCTGCCATGTGGGTGCTGGGTATTGAACCAGGGTTCTCTAGAAGAACAGCCAGTGCTCTTAACTGCTGAGCCATCTCTCCAGCCCTTCTTTGCTGTTTTTAATATCTTTGTTTGAGATGTCTTCAGGAAAATATATAATACCTCTGAGGACAAGTTTGCCTTACTAGTTATGTTGAAGCTTCTTGACTCTCTGTCAATAAGAAAGGCAAACTACATCCCATGTGAAGGGCTTCTTCCCCCTCCTATATCCCCTTAATTTTCTCTGTCTTTCTATTCTGCTTCAATACTCAACATGTGATAAGCACTCATTCAATATATGGAATGTAGTGATTCTCAGTTATTACTTATTTGCCATTAGCACATCCTTTCCAGACTCACTCTAATTATTGCTGTCTGACCTGAGAACTGTACTGGTAGATGATGCAGCAGGCAAACTAGGCATGGCATGCTCCCAGAAAGTGCATGTAGGGTTCCTGGGACCATGGACAGGGAGCCAAGTGATTCTAGGATGGCTGCACAGTTTGATCAGGTTCCTTCCATATACTGACTCCCCTTTGCCAACTGTTAATTCAGAGCACAGAGCAATCAGTGTTTGGCACGCAGACTGTTAGAATCCTTGGTCCCTTCCGAATGCTTTTTGTGGCCCACACTGAAGTCCTCACTGAGTAACTCTCCAAGTCTTGTCTCTTTGCCTTACAGAGGAATGTTTGCTGGGGGATTGAAGGAGATGGAGCAGGAGGAGGTCCTGATCCATGGTGTGTCTTACAATGCCATGTGCCAAATCCTGCATTTCATATACACGTCTGAACTAGAGCTCAGCCTGAGCAATGTGCAGGAGACCCTGGTTGCTGCCTGCCAACTTCAGGTGAGAGTTGCCTTGTTGAATAAGAAGACTCAGACCTGAGGGGGGCTCTCCAGGTACCTGTGATGACTGCTGGTCTGAGGTAGGTCAAGAGGGCAAGGATACCAAGTAGTGAGGCACAATACGGAACAGGGAGACAAACAACTGTGGGTTTGAGATAAAGACTTTATCTGTACCTGGTTTGTTATCCAGAAAGGTTTCCTTTTGTCTTTGTTTTGTTCTGCTTTGCCTGTCAAATTCCAAGGTGTCCTTGAACAGCCTTCAGGGTTCAGTTTCCTGATTCTCAGCTTCCTCCTTCCTAAGTGCCTCTTTGGCCTGCCTTCCCTCCCTCCAGTGCAGCTCAGGACAGGGATAGGTTATACTGCCACCTGGGAATTCTACACCCACTGGAGCTGAGTGAGTCTCTCAGCTCAGGCAGAGGCCCCAGGATGGTTTGACAGCTTTTCAAAAAACCGTGGCTCTGGATCTTGGCTTGTGAGTGTCTGGAGATGCCTTGCTGACAGTTCTAAGTACGTTGTGCATGGGCCTGGCGGGCCTCCTCTGCTTCTACAGCTGCTGAGGTTGTTAGGGAAGAGAGCCAGCTATAGTTTGGGTCCTAGCACCTTGGCTCTGGGAGAGAGAGAGAGTGTATCCATGGTAGGGAATGGCCACAGGCTCCACAGTCTGTGACATATCCTGCTTCCTTCCCACATGAACTTTTGATCTAAAAGCAGGTGATATATATCAAAAATCCTGTCTGTGCCAAGGGGTGTTCGTACTCTCATCCTCAGGCCATTTCCCCCTACCTTAACCTTGTTTTATAGATGAGGATTGGAGCTCTGTAAGGTTAAGAACATGCCCTGTGTTCCCATGGCAGGTTTTAAACTAAACTTGCAGGAAATCCCTGCAGTTTTCTATCAGAAAAGGTCTGGGACAGTTGAGGGAAGATTCTACTTTGTAGTCCCCAACCTCAGAAGGCCAGCTAAGTGGACAGCCAGCTCCATAATAAGCTTTTTTCTGTTGTCATCCTGTCTCCCATACCCAGATACAGTTCTCCAGCTCAACCTTGAGTGGGTGTCCTTCTTTTTACAGATCCCAGAAATTATCCACTTCTGCTGTGACTTCCTCATGTCCTGGGTGGATGAGGAGAACATCCTTGATGTCTACCGGCTGGCAGAGGTCTTTGACCTGAACCGACTGACCCAACAGCTGGATACCTACATCCTCAAAAACTTTGTGGCCTTCTCGAGAACTGACAAGTACCGCCAGCTTCCCTTGGAAAAGGTCTACTCTCTCCTCAGCAGCAATCGCCTGGAGGTTTCCTGTGAGACTGAAGTGTATGAAGGGGCCCTGCTCTACTATTACTCCCTGGAGCAGGTGCAGGCTGACCAGATCTCACTGAATGAGCCTCCCAAGCTCCTAGAGACTGTACGTTTTCCCTTGATGGAAGTTGATGTCCTTCAGCAGCTGCATGACAAGCTTGATCCTAGCCCACTGAGGGACACCGTGGCCAGTGCCCTTATGTATCACCAGAATGAGAGCCTGCAGCCCAGCCTTCAGGGCCCACAGACAGAGCTTCGCTCAGACTTCCAGTGTGTTGTGGGCTTTGGAGGCATTCACTCCACACCATCTACAATCCTCAGTGACCAGGCCAAGTATCTGAATCCCCTATTGGGAGAGTGGAAACACTTCACTGCCTCTCTGGCTCCCCGAATGTCCAACCAGGGCATTGCGGTGCTCAACAACTTCGTGTACTTGATTGGAGGGGACAATAATGTCCAAGGCTTCCGAGCTGAGTCCCGATGCTGGAGGTAGGAAGGGCACTCATCATCATTGCCTTTGTCATTAGACAGCTCCACGGTGCAGGGTTTGCGGGCTATGGGGCTGCTCAGGGACACTTTATCAAGGACACATTACTGCAGGCCTGTGCTACAGCTTCCTTCTCTGCCTTATGCTTGTTTTATGTAATGAAGTCCAGGTGAATTCAGAGAAAGTGGACCTCACTGAGACATCAGAATTGCTTTCTTGCCCCTCTGTCCCTGCTGTCCTGACGCCCATGCTGGGGAGTGCTGTGTGGGCTGGGCTAACTGCTCCTGCCATCTTCAGTGTCATTTTTTCAAGTTCCTTGCTGTTCGGCTCTGCTCCTTTTCTCCAAACTGCCAGCCAGGTTGTCTTCCAGATGCTGCCTGCTGGAGCCCACATCTGAGTACAGACGAGTGGGAAGGACCAATAAGCATCACTGAGCTTTTGCTAAGTTCCCCATTGACCCTGTAGTCAGGTGAAAATGTACTCAATAGATCTATGAGGAGGCAGTTTTTCTTGAGGGAGTTTTGTGGACTGCTTTGATCTGCAGGATGCTTCTAGCTATGATCCGAGAGACCCATTTCTTTGGACAGAACAAGACACATTAGTTCATACCTTGTTGCATGTGGGAACTCCTGCCACCCCTGGACCCTACCACAAGCTAAGAGAGGATGTAGAGAGAAGCTCTGGGCTGGACCCTATTGCAGTTCACTTTGATATTCATGCTCTGTCTTTGGCTATAAGGGTGAGGTTGGACTCTGGCCTGGCCCTGCCACACAAAGCAAGCAAGCACAGAGGTACTGACCAAGAGGAAAACAGCCATTTCTTGGTTATTTCTGGTCTCCTGACCCTAGGAAGCAGTCACCTTTGTTAAACTAGACTTAAACCTGTCTATAACGCATTGTGATTAGATGGTTGGAATGACAGGGTTCAGAAAGAAGGAAATGACTCACTTCCTTTGTAACTGGATACTATCTTCAGTGAGCATGACTGAATTTGGCTTCCCTCAGATCAAGCCTGGAGGCTTCTTTCTTACAGGGCTCTGTTTCCAGCTGTGGGGCTAAGGCCAGACTGCCCTCCCTATCTCAGCAGTTGAGAGCTGCAAAGCAGATCTCTGCAGAGCAGTGACAGCTGAGAGCTGAACTTGGATCATGGCAGGTGGGATCAAAGGAAAAGAAATTTATAGAGGCGGGGGTGTGTGGCAAGTAGAGTCAAGGCTTGCCTACCAGCTGTCATCTAAAGAATGAAAACTTCATTTGCTTCCTGGCCATCTCAAAACTTGTAAAACTGAGTGTGTAGCTTAGCGTTGAATGTTTCCCTAGCATGTATAAGGCCCTGGTTTCCACACAATCACTTTTTGGTTTTTGGTTGAACTTGTTCTAGTTGAGTAGCTGAGGATGACCTTGAATTCATGATTATTCTGCCTTCATCTTCCAATTGCTGAGATACAACAATTGGCTGAAACCGTAAAATTGGTTTTTCTAAAATTAGTTTCTTTTTCCTATTCATAGTTTACTAGCTTTAAAATCTATAAACTCTTAGAATATAAGAAAACAATGTTTTCAGGCGTTGGTGGCACACGCCTTTAATCCCAGCACTTGGGAGGCAGAGGCAGCCTGGTCTGCAAAGCAAGTTCCAGGACAGCCTCCAAAACAATACAGAGAAGCCCTGTCTCGGAAAACCAAAAAAAGAAAAGAAAAGAAAAGAAAACAATATTTTACAGTAAATAAGGTTTTGCAATCTGAGGAGACAGTGCTTAGCAGTTATGTTCTAGAGCTCTGATGTAGAAACTGTAAGAAATTGTCTCGTGAAACAAATTAGTTCTTTGTTTCTACTACCTTTATTTTCTTTCTTTGACTTCACATATACAACTATATTGGCTTCATGTCAGTACTGTGAAATACCTAATGCAACTAATTAATGAAGAGAAAATGTTTAGTTACTGTATCCTTTAAGAAGTTTAAAGTCGCCGGGCGTTGGTGGCGCACGCCTTTAATCCCAGCACTCCGGAGGCAGAGGTAGGTGGATCTCTGTGAGTTCGAGACCAGCCTGGTCTACAAGAGCTAGTTCCAGGACAGCCTCCAAAACAATACAGAGAAGCCCTGTCGCGGAAAACCAAAAAAAGAAAAGAAAAAAAAAAAAAAAAAAAAAAAAGAAGAAGAAGAAGAAGAAGAAGAAGTTGTTTAAAGTCCAAGATCATGCAGTACATGGAGTATGCCCACTGGTTTGTCCTTTGTGAGGTAGATGCTGTAGTGGGAGCACTGAACCTGCTAGTCACATCTTGGTCCAGGACAGAGAAAGTAGAAACTAGAGATGCAGAGTTACAGTTTTGTGGTTTCTAAAGACAAGGTCTTATCTCCCTCCCCCACAAAATGTCTTCTTTTGTAGTCCTGCCTGGCCCAGAACTCTACGTAGACCAGGTTGACCTTGAACTTGGAGTGATCCTCCTGCCTCTGCTTCCTTAGTTCTAGGACAGGAGGTATGTGCAACTTTAACAGGCTTTACTATACCCTGGAGTCCATTTCCCAGTGACCCAAGCAGGACCATAATACCTGCCACAACTGCCCCTCCCCCCAGCTCTTAGGGCTGCTGTTGCTGGGATGAAACACCATCACCAAAAGTGCCTTGGAAAGGTTTATTTTACTCATAGTTCCATTAACAGTTCATCATCCAGAGCAGTGAGGGCAGGAACCTGGAGGCAGGAGCTGACGCAGAAACCATGGAGGAGTGCTGCTTACTGGCTTGCTTCCCATGGCTTGCTCAACCTGCTTTCTTATACAACCCAGGACCACCTGTCCAGGGGTGGTCTCACCCATAATGGTTTGAGTCCTCCTCCATCAATTACTAATTAGGAAAATGCCCTATTTGCCTACAGCCTGATCTTATGGAGGCATTTTCTCAGTTTAGACATCCTCTCTGATGACTCTAGCTTATGTCTAGTTGATGAAAAATTAGACATCACAAGGCCTTTAAATTTGGACCTTTGAAGGGCATTATCCAAACTGTAGGAGTTAGCCACATCATTTTTTGAACATTTTTCATAGCTATAGCCAGATAAAATTATTGAGCTCTGTCTGTGTGCTGTGCCTAGTAGTGTGTAGTCCATGTTGCATGCGTTCTGACCCTGCCTATATAAAATAATATTTTGGGTTTTTTCTTAAGCGTTTCCATGTGCATTTAAAGTTTTAATAGCCTTTAAAATAGTTGGACCTAGTGATGAACCTGTAATCAATACCAACTGCTTAAGAGGCTGAGGCAGGAGGATTACCAGTTCAAAATCTGCCTGGACTATTGAATGGACTATTCAGATCCAGCCCAGACAGTTCAGATCAGCCCAGACAACTTAGTGAAACACTGTCACAAAATAGTGAAAAGAGGGCCAGGATCCAAGTGTGATGGTTCATACCTTTAATCACAGCACCTGAAAGACACAGTGAGACCTTACTTCAAACAAAAGGAGAATAGCAGGCTAGGGGTGGTATAGCTTAATAATAGAACTCTCTTAGGTTTAATCCCCAGTCCTTCAGTGTATACCCTGTCATACCATTAACAGTTATGGAAATACTGAAGAAAAAACAATTTGCTAAATTTGACAGAGACCTTTGATACATTTTTTTTGAACCTAGATTTTTACCTCTCAATTACAATAGTTTGGCAGTTCAAATATGTTACTTAAAATTATTATCTTGGTAAATTTTGGCTTCTATAACAAATACCACAGAATAGGTGGCTTAAATATCCAACGCCTGTTTTTCATAACCTTGGTTCTGGAATGTCAGCTGATTGAGTCTGGTAGGGACCTTTCTTGCTTTACCCTCATATAATAAACAAACTGAGTTCTATCTCTTCCTCTTTGTGATAGTTTGAATGTAATTGGCCCTCATACGCTCATAGGGAGTGAACTATTAGTAGGTGTGCTTTGTTGGAATAAGTATGGCCGTGTTGGATAAAGTGTGTCACTGGGTGTGGGCTTTGAGGTTTCCTAATGGTCAAGATAACTCCTAGTGTCTCAGTCTACTCCCTGTTGCCTTCTGGCCAAGATGTAGCCAGCACCGTGTGTTCTGAACATTGCAATGCATGATGATAATGGACCTGAACCTATGAAAGTGTAAGGGAGCCACCCTAATTAAATATTTTCCTTTCTAAGAGTTGCTGTGAGGCTGGCTTGAGGTGGCTCAGTGGTTAAGAGCACTGACTGTTCTTTCAGAGAACCCAGGTTCGGTTCCCAGCACCCACATTGCAGCTCACAGCTGCCTGTAACTCTAAGATCTGACACCCTCACACGGACATACATGCAGGCAAAACACAAATGCACATAAAAAAAAAAAAGTTGCCATGGTCATGGTGCTCTTCACAGCATTAGAAACCCTAACTAAGACAGAAGTTGGTATCAGGGACTGGGGTATGTCTGTGATAGGCCAGACCATGTTTTTATTTTGAGTAATTTGGACTTTGGTACTTTAAATTAGGAAAGCAGTGGAATGGTTTAAACACTGCTTACTTGACCATACTAGTAGGAGCATGGAAGACAATGATGCTTTGAACTGTGGGGGCCTGGCTCAAGAGTTTCAGAGAAGAATGTTAGTATGTTGCCTAGAGATCATTCTTGTGGTATTTTGGTGAAGAATGTGGCTGCTTTTGCCCTTGAAGAGTCTGCCTGAGGCAAAAGTGAAGTTTTGGATTAATTCCATTGGCAGAGGAAATCTCAAAACATCCTGATATAGACTCTCTCATGTGATTATTAGTGATAACTCTAATGAAGATTTATAATGAAAAGGAGTAAGCTGAGCCATTAAAAATATAAAATGTACAGGTTGAGAAAAGGAGCATCAGGAAGTGGAATAGAGGTAAATCCTGTGTCCAAGGAGGTAAATTGATTAAGAAATAGAATAAAGGGAATGGTGACCTCAGGACAAGACCCCACCCAACTAAGTTTCCAACTAAAGAAATACTTAGAGTCGGGTGTAGTGATGGACACCTTTAATCCCAGCACTGGGAAGGTAGAGGCAGGCAGGTTTGAGCCTAGTCTGGTCTACAGATCCAGTTTCAGGACAACCACGCTTAGGCAGTGAAGGACAGAAAGCTGATGAAGATATAATGAAAGTGGGGGCCATGTTCCAGCCCCAGTGAGCAGCAGAATTTCGCAGCTTTGGCCACATGGTTCTAACGTTAAGGAGAGAAGAAAGAGGCTATGGAATTTTGCCCCCGAGATTAAGAAAAGCTACTGAGGCCAGGCAGGTGTCAGGGGTGTCCCTGAATGGAGGCCTAGAGAGGCCATTTCGTGAAGCTGTGAAGTTGAAGCCTGATTTGCTTTGGAGAACCTAAGATGTTGGAGATGCCAGAGCCTTGGGATACCTTCTGGGGAAAACTACTACCAGAGAATGGAACCAGCCCAAGAGAAAGAAGTGTGTTACAGTCTACAGAACTGAAAGGAGTTGGAGATCTGAAGAGCGTTTTGACCTCAGCCATGGAGATGCAGAGTTTGGAGTTTTCCCAGCTGGGTTTCGGTCTTGCTTTGGTCCAGTATTTCCTCACTATGCTCCCTTCCCTATGTTTTGGAATGGTAATGTATATCCATATATCATATGTTGGAAGTATGTGGTCTGCTTTTATTTTGATTGTACAGGGGATTGCAATTAAGAGATTGCATGAATCTCAGAAGAGACTTTGAACTTGGGACTTCTAAACATTGTTGAGACTATGGGGACTTTTGAAGTTGAACTAAATGCATTTGCCTTATGATATTGTTACAAGCTTATGGGGGTCAGGGAGTGGAATGTGGTAGTTTGAATGTAATTGGCTCCCATAAGCTACTAGGGAATGGCACTATCAGGTTTAGTCAGACTTTCTTTGGACCACCAGCTCCCAAACAATGATACAGAGACTTCTTATTAAGTATGAAAGCTTGGCCTTTAGCTTAGGCTTGTTCCTAACTAGTTCTTAAACTTAAGTTATCCTGTTTATATTAATCTGCCATGTAGGTCATTACCTCTGGTCAGTACCGTGCATCCCACTTCCTCCATGTCTGGCTGGCAAATCCCCAGCTCTCTGATTCTTCCCAGAGTTCCTATCCCTGCCCAAAAGTCCTGTCTATTCTCTCCTGCCTAGCCATTGGCCATTCAATCAGAAAGCACCCTAGGCAGATAGAGTCAAACAGAAACACATCTTCACAGTGTATGAAAAGATTTTCCCACTACAATTAGGAGTTGTAGCCTTGTTGGAGTGGGTAAGACCTTGTTGGAAGAAGTGTGTTCGTGTGTGGCTGGACTTTGAGGTTTCCTGTGGTCAAGATACCTCCCAATGCCACAGTCCATTCCCTGTTTCCTTCTGATCAAGATGTAGCCAGCACCATGTCTTCCTGCATAGCACCATGCTCCCCGACATGGTGATAACGGACTGAACCTCTGAAAGTGTAAGTGAGCCACCCCAATTAAATGTTTTTCTTGCAAGAGTTGCCATGGTTATTGTATCTCTTCACAGTAACAGAAACCCAAACTTAGACACTTTTTGTTTTGTTTTGTTTTTCTTGGTAGAGTTTCTGCCAGTCCTCACTCTGTAGATCAGGCTGACCTCAAACTCAGAGATCTACCTGCCTCTGCCTCCCAAGCGCTGGGATTAAAGGTGTGTGCCACCTCTGCCCAGCTTTCGTCTCTTCTTAATTGGGATTAATCCTATCCTGGGATCTTTATCCTTAAGCCCTGATTAAGCCCCAGAGTATTGCCAAAGTAAATTTCACATGGATGTTTTTTGGAACTCAGGCATTCAGTCCATAGTAGTGTTAGACAAATTTCTACCCTTACATGTAATACTGAATTTTGGGCTGGGGAGATGGCTTAGTCTATAAAGAGCTTGCTTTACAACTATGAGGACCTTCACTCAGAGCTCTGGTGCCCATATAGAAGACAGATGTAGTGGTGCTCATTTGTTTAGTTTTTTGTTTGTTTAGTTTGGTTTGGTTTTTCGAGACAGGGTTTCTCTGTGGCTTTGGAGGCTGTCCTTGAACTAACTCTTGTAGACCAGGTTAGTCTCAAACTCAGAGATCTACCTGCCTCTGCCTCCCAAGTGCTGGGATTAAAGGCGTGTGCCACCACCGCCTGGCTGGTGGTGCTCATTTGTAACTCCAGTGTGTGGCAGGGGTAGGAACAAGAGGACCCTGAGGCCCACTGGCTAACCAGTGAATGAGCTCCAGAGACTATTTCAAAATATAAAGTGGAAGAAGATACTGAACATTGACCTTTGTCCTCTCTACAGGCACATCCATGTGCACCTGCCATAGGACATGGAGATCAGAGGACACCTTGTAGAAGTTTGTTCTCTCCATTTACAATGATGGTTCCAGGGACAGATGTCAAATTTATCAGGCTTGGTAGCAAGCACCCTTATTCACTGAACCATTTTGCCAGCTCCTGAAGCTTATTTTTAATTAGAAAAGAAAAAAGAAAAAAAAATATTGGGCTGGAGAGATGGCTCAGAGGTTAAGAGCACTGGCTGCTTTTCCAGATGTGCTGAGTTCAATTCCCAGCAACCACATCGTGGCTCACAGCCATCTATAATGAGATCTGGTGCCCTCTTTTGTCCTGCATGGATATATGCAGACAGAACACTGTATACATAATAAATAAGTCTTTAAAAAAAAAGAAAGAAAGAAAAATGTTACTTAACAATCTCTTCTGACTAAGAAAAGAATTAAAAACAGGTGTAGTGGAGCACACCTGTAATCCCAATATTTGAGGTGGAGACAGGAGGGTCAGGCTACTTAGAGAGTGCAAGGCCAGCCTGTGTTTCATGAGACCTTGTATAAAAACAAACTAACACCCCAAAAGGCCAGTGATATGACTCAGTAGGTAAAGGTACTTGCTGCATAATACTGGCAATTTGTATTCAATCCTTGGAACCTCATACAAAGGGAGATTTCACAAGGCTGTCGTTTGACCTTTACATACATGCCATGACATGTCAGTGCCCCCCCCCATCAGGAACATACATACAATAATACAAACAGAAACAAAATAGAAAATTAATCCAATAAAGAGGAGCTTGGTCTCCTGAACATGGTCATGGACACCTATAATAATCCTAGTGCTTGGGATACTAAGGTAGGAGGATGGGGAGTGAAAGGCCTGCTTGGTCTGTTTAGCAAGTTGGAGGCTGAGAACATAGCTTGATGGTAGAACACTTGCCTTACATACAGTGGCTGTTGATTCAGTTCCTGCGGTGGCAAATGAAGAAAAAAAACTGAGGATGGATTTAGGCTGTAGAAAGGCCTCAGGCGTGGGTGTCCGCATGGGTTTTGCTGGTATTGATGGGGAATGCAGGGCTCTATTGAGGATGGTTAAGTGAACAGTCAGGTTCTAAATACGGGATCTAAAATACAGTAGAGACCAGTGGTTGACAGTTGACATATAAGGTAGCTGAGAGTACCCTGGGGGAATTGGAAGCCTCGCAGTAGTGGGTAAGAGACATAGCAAAAAGAAGGGAGATGCATCCTGGGCTGACCAGTGTTGAGCAGCAGTAACAGGACTGGCTCTGTGCAAGGTTGGATGATGTTTGTTGCTTGAGGGTTAGACTTTTTTTTTTCTTCTTCTTCAGTTGTGAGGGAAACAAAGCTGTGACTTGGGGGCGCTGTATTTTCTCTGAAAGTGACATAATGTGGCCTGGTAACAGGAAAGTAAGCTGTAGTAACAATGCTTGAGAGGGATTTTTCTCCTTTCCTGCCTCACACCTTTCTCGTGTACCTCTTGCCTGGACTGTTTGTTCATTGCAGATTTCCAGGGTAACCTTAGCCCAGAGGCCTTCCTGATCCTTCAGGATCCTCTGGCTTCATGTAGTCAGCCTTATCTTTTTCATTTAGTGGGTTCAATTTCCTTTAGTGGGGTTCCTGGAATCTGACAGCATCCTGCTCTTCTGACCACAGTTCAAAGTGAAAGTTGGCATACCCACTTCAGCAAGAAGGGTGTTCTGAGAATGTGGGGGTGGGGAAGACTTCCCTCGGTGGGAAGTCAGGAAAGCCACCAATCAGAGACTAATGTAGTTTTTTCAAGTGTATGAAGGGGGCTGAAGGGAGCCTATGGTTATCTAAGAACAAGAGTGTGATAGTACTAGGGTGACCTTTGCAGACTTCACAGAATAGAATGTTGGAGGAGGCTGATGTACCCAGTCTGGAGTGCAAGTGAAAGGAAGGTGGCCACAGCCTGTGATGAACATTTGGGTAGATACAAAGCCTACTCCAGGCTATGTTGTGAGTATATAGTGCTTCATGAACCTCTGTCATGGCTCTGGATCAGCAGGGCCTAATGCCAGGATGGAGGGTGTTCAGACCAGGCTGCAGCAAAGAAGTGGGGGAGTAGAAAATGTAGGCCTCCTGGTCAGTGATGTACTGTCCTCATGTCCTCCAAAGGTATGACCCGAGGCACAATCGCTGGTTCCAGATCCAGTCCTTGCAGCAGGAACATGCAGATCTGTGTGTGTGTGTCGTGGGCAAGTACATCTATGCTGTGGCAGGCCGTGACTACCACAATGACCTGAGTGCTGTGGAACGCTATGATCCTGCCACCAACTCCTGGGATTATGTGGCCCCACTCAAGAAGGAGGTAAGGAAGCCCTCCAACAGGAGTCTTCCCCGTTTCCTTCCATGGGCTGTACTCAGAGGCCCAGGTGTCAAGACTGGCCCTGGGCCCAGGTCAGGGAATCAGGCCTGGTAATCAGAAGCCATGCCTATCCCAGGATTCTGTAAGAGGTACATTGGAGGGCCTGTCAGACCAGTGCCCCTTATGAGTTTCATGTGGTGAGATTGCCCCTCACCTTGTCCCTATACTTCTATATAGATGGAAATTTTCCCCTTATCTGTTCTTGCTGACATAAGCTGGAAGATTTCCAAATATGTCAAAACAGAGGGACTTGAAGAGACTGGAGGGTGCTGGTTCACAGGTTGTCCTCAGACTCTTCCCCTACAGCAAAACAGCCACAGGAGCTTCCAGAGGCTACACCATGCTTTGGAAGTTTTATTTTCATAAAGACAGTAAAATAATCATGTACATACAACATAACACCTTGGTTTAGTCCAGTTTGGAGATGCTTAAAATTATGTACATGATGTGAAGGTAATGCTTTATGGGGTACGTTTTATTCTTTTCTGGTTCTGGGATACTTTGGCCTAGCCCCAGACCACCTATGGGATCCCAGGACAAGGGTTGGGTCTTGTTGGCATCAGCTCTAAAGCCTTGGCCTCTGAGGAAAGGTGTTGGGTCTGTTATGCACTTGTCCCAGGCTGACACCTTAGGGATCATCAGGCACTCCAGAATCAGGATGATGTAGTGGTCACACATTAAAAACTCTGCCCCACTGGGCTAGATTGATGGCTCAGTGGTTAAGAACACTAGCTGCTCTTCCAGAGGTCCTGAGTTCAATTCCCAGCAACCACATGTTGGACCATCTGTAATGAGATCTGATGCCCTCTTCTGGTGGGCAGGCATACATGCAGACAGACCCTTGTATGCATAATAAATAAATCTTTTGAAAAACAAAAACTGCCCCAATCAGGGGACTGGGCAGAACTCCTCTGGCTTTGGAGTTCTTTCCATTACCTGCCATTTTTCTCTCTCACCCTTCCTCAAACCTGTGGGGATGAAGACTTTGACCTCATTGGCTTGAGATCAGGATCTTCTGACCAAATCACAGAGCAGGCCCAATTCCTGTCATCCTTTCTACAGGCTCCAGCCGTGCCAGATCCTTGCTCTTTAACTTCTTTTCAGGGAAGGAAGCCCAGTCCTAGTTCTAGAAAAATGAGCAGATTTTGCATGGAAAATATCTGGGGCTCTTGAGAGCTGGTAGATCCTGTTCCAGGGGTTTGGGAAAGGTTTGTGGGTGAAGGGCTTCTGTGGGCAAAGCTGCAGTCTTCACCTTGGCCACAGAGGAGCAATCTTGAACTTCACTCCATTTATTCAGCTGCTAGTCACCGTCATTCCTTCATGCATGCAATCACCTTTTCCATACTGTGTACTAAGTCAGGGAGATCCAGTGGTGACAAATGACAAACTCTCCTCCACCAGGCAGATTGCAGAAGAGACTCATTAACCATCCCAAGCACCACTGAAGTAGTTACCGTGACAATGAGTAGATGGCAGAAATGAAGAAGGCTGAGATGCTCTGGAGGGGTGAGGGCTCTTGAACGATTAAGTGGAGATGTATTATTGGGGAATGTCTATCTGAATAAGTGCCAAAGTAAGGCCTAAAAATAAATTAGCCATTTTCAGTGGCAAAGGAACTCCCAGGGCAGGGCAGGGAGAGACAAGCTTGAAGAGCCTTGTGATGAACAAAAAGCCTGAAGAGTAAAGAAGAGGAGGGAGGAGGGCAATGCTGGGACTGTGTTGTTGTAGGGCTGGGCCAGGCCTGTGGAGGTAGAGAAGTGAATGGGAAGACTAAAGAGTGGTGTGGAGGTCACTCAGGTTCACCAACTTAAATGTAAAACTAGAACCTTTAGACAAATGAACCAGAACAGAACCAGATGTGTGATGATGCCTGTGATCTCAGTGCTGGGAGACAGGCAGGAGGGTCACAACCAACTTGAGGTCAGCCTGGTCTGCATAGTGAATTCCAAGGCTATGTAGCAAGACCCTGACTTTTTTTGTTGGTTTGCTCTTTGTTTTTTGTTTTTTCAGGACAGGGTTTCTCTGTAGCTCTGAAAATCAGGCTGGCCTCAAACTCACAGAGATCTGCCTGCCTCTGCCTCCCGAATGCTGGGGGTACACCACCACTGCCCAGCATAAGACCCTATCTTAACCAAAAGTACAAGACAAAACAAAAACAGAAGAGAATGTTCAGGATATGAACTAAGTGAGTTTGTAGACTTGATGTCAAACATGAGCCATAAAAAGAAAAACTGATAAATTGGATCTTTTCAAAATTAAAAACTCTTGCTGGCAAAGACCTTTCTAAAAAGTGCATTCATTTGTGTGTGGCAGGGAACCTGTCAGTGTCAGAGAATAGCTTCCAGGAGTTAGCTCTCTAATTCTGCCATGTGGATCATAGGGATCAAAATAGGGTCCTTGCTTATTGGAATTGAGCCATCTCACAAGCCCCACCTCCAACATTTTAAAAGGAAACTTAAGAAAGAAGTTACTGAGTAGCAAAAAAAATAGATGCAAACCATATTTCTGGACCATAGTATTGAAGAAGGCAAGTAAAGTGTTGGGATATGCACCTTTAATCACAGTGTGAGGCTGCTCTGTGCCTCTGCTTCCCTAGTGCTGGGATTAAACACATGCACCATGGATATTAATAGCCATTTTTTTGGAGAGTAGCCAGAAACTGAACAAATTCGATATACTTCAACAGGTGAATGGCTAAATAAACTGTGATTGATTCACAGCAATAAAAAGGAACTAACTGGGTAATGGAGAGCATAGAAAGGGATAGAAAGCCAGTAGTAAAGGCTCTATTTTCAGACCAGGTGAGATGGTGCACACCTTTAATCTTAGCACTTGAGAGGCAGAGGCAGGGGGTCATTTTTAGTTTGAGGCCAGCCTGATCTAAATAGTGAGTTCAGGACAACCAGGCTGCACAGAGAGTTCCAGGATAGAGAGACCCTATTTCAAAACAAGATCAAACCTGTTCTATTTTATTTTTATGTTGTTCTTGAAATAACAATATTATAGAAATAGGGAAGAGGTTGGTGATTGTCAGACATTGGGCTAGGAGAGGCATGGTTGTGACTATTGTCAATTTAAACTGACCAACAGAGAGACCAATCCTCCAAAACCAAGTGTTTGTTCAGGAACAGCAAGGCATTGCAACTAGGATACATGTGCTGTGGTGGACCATAGACAGGTGTGTCCAAAGGGAGTGAGCAAGGGGAAGTCTTTAAAGACAGAGTTCAGGATGGCACATTTGCTTGGTGAATAAAGATGCTTGCCGTGTAAGCCTAACAACTTAAGTTTTACCCCTGGGTCTCACAGAGGAAGAGAGAACTGACTTCTGCACACATGTGAGCGGCTGGAGAATTAACTCCTTTGGCTTCAGGTGCTCATTGTAGGAATCGTAACTGTGTTTGAAGAGGTCTCCTTTTTTTTTTTTTAATTATTTTTATTTTATTTGTGTTTTGCCTGTATGTGTGTCTGTGTGGTGTTGGATCCTGGAGTTACAGACAGTTGTGAGCTACCATGTGGGTGCTGGAAATTGAACCTGGGTCTCCTGAAAGAGTATTTGGGTATTTTTCATTCTTGTTTGGTTGAATTCAGAGATGCAAACCCATGGATACGGAGACCCAATTACATTTGATGCTTTGTCTCCATCTTTTCCTTTTCTTCCCTGTAGCCCACTTCCTGTAGGTGGGAACTATCTTCAGACACATCTAGGAAGATGGCTGGTGAGAAGTTGAAGCCATCAAGGGCAGGTCCTTACTGCCAGCGTGCTTTTCTGGCAACTTGGAAAGTGGGCCTTGGTTTTCTTGTTCCCCATCCAGATGTTTCCTTTAGGGACAAAGAGATTTAAAGATTACATTAATTTTTGGGTCTGTAGATAACATGCCCTCTTGGAAAGAGGTTGGGGTCAACAAGTAGGGCAGTATATTCAGATAGAATCTGCGGTGTATTCTTGGTATGTGAGGGTACTTCAGATGTGGCGTTATCAGGCAGGTGCAGAGTGGTGGAGGCAGCCGCTACTGGCCACCTTCCTCACTGCCTTCTTGCCCATTCTTTGCCTTTCCTGTATCTCATGATGACTCCAAACAGGTATATGCCCATGCAGGCACCACACTGCAGGGGAAGATGTACATTACCTGTGGTCGCAGAGGAGAGGACTACCTGAAAGAGACGCACTGCTACGACCCAGAAAGCAACACATGGCATACTCTGGCTGACGGGCCTGTGCGACGTGCCTGGCATGGCATGGCTGCTCTCCTCGACAAGCTGTTTGTGATTGGAGGCAGCAACAATGATGCTGGCTACAGGAGGGATGTGCACCAGGTGAGCTGGGCCCAGGCCACCAACCTCAGAATTGAGCAGAAGGTCCAGGGAGTTCCCATGCACTCTCCGGCTCCATTCATGCATGGCCTCCCTACTATGTAGGTATGTCCTTCACCAGAAGGGCACATATGTTAGACTTGTTGAACTCATATCACTCCAAGCCCACAGCTTTCATGAAGGCTTATACTTACTGCTTCATATTCTGTATGATGCATATATATGACCACCATAGTAATTTCACTTGTGCATTTGGTTATTATGTTTCATCAAAAAGTTAGCATGCCCATGCTGGGCAGTGGTGATGCACACCTTTTATCTCAGTACTCGGGAGGCAGAGACAGGCTGATCTCTTGAGTTCAAGGCCAGCATGGTCTACACAGTGAGTTCCAGGCCAGGCAGGGCTACTTAGAGAAACTCTTGTAATTTAACATACCCACATTGTCAACCCTCTAACAAAGATTAGAGAAAAATGAGAAGCACTCATCCCTTCCACCTGTACTGCTTGCTCTTAGTCTGTCTGTGACTTGCTTTTAGTTGTTCACAGTCAAAGAGCATCCCAAGCAAAAGTGTTGTAGTCCATTTCTGTAACCCCAGCGCTCCAGTCTGAGACTGGAGGTTTGCAAGTTTGGGACCAGCCTGGGCTATGCAGTGAAATGAAATTGAAGACACAAAATGTACTTTTTTCACCAGCATTGTCCCTAGCATTCTCCAGTTTAACTGTCTGTGTGTATGTGTACATTGGGAAATTAATTAAACCTAGGATCTCACATGTGCTAGAGAAACTCTACCACAGAGTTAATCTACAGGTGTCTTTTTACTTTTTATTTTGAGGTAGAATTTCATTAAGTTGCTCAAGCTGGCCTTGAAATCATTTTGTAACCCTGTCAGAACTCTTAACTTGGGCAATATTGCCTTACTGTTTTTAGCTGGAAATACAGGCTTGTGCCAGTGGGCCAGCTTTGTAACTGCTGCCTGCCCCCACTCCGGTAGCTGGCAGCGTTTTGTTAGATCAATGCATCATTTGGGTTAGCCTAAGCTTTACTCCACATTATGGATAATATTGGCATTGAAGAGCTGGTCAGGTGTTTTGGGTTTTCTCAGGTTCATGAATCTCAACCCCTACCCCAAACCATTGATTTGGAAGCTCTTGGAGTGGGGCTTGACTACCTCTATTAACATTTCCACCTCACGGCAACAACTTCATCTATAAGCCAGTAAGAGCAGGTGGAGTCCTCATTCCTACCCTTCTGTCTGGCTTTCTCTTTTCTAATTTTGAGTACTTATGTAATTAAAGGTATTCTTCCATTCATGATAGGATTGTATATAGTTTTACAACAAACTAAAAATATCCTAGCTCAGATGTACATTTAACCAGGCTAGGAAAATAGCTTCGTCCATAAAGTGCTTTCCATATAAGCGCAAGGATGACACAAAAACTGGGCATGGTGGTGCCTGCTTGTAACCCAGTGCTGGGACTTGAAGACAGGCTGGAGCTTGCTGGCCAACCTAACCTGATTGTTGAGCCTAGGTCTCAGTGAGAGATCCTGTCTCAAAAAACAAGATGGTGACTCCTGAGGAATGTCATATAAGGTTGATCTCTTGCCTCCACACACATACAAATGCATTTAGCACCCTGATCTATGGGCTGTCATCACTTAACCACATGGGTGCTATAGGAGCTCAGTGTTCCCCTTCAAGATGGAGTAGCTGACACAGGCTGCAGCTCACATCTCTCACCCAATATCACACAAGAATTGTACTGGGTTAACTAACTCATGAAAAGGCCACGTCCAAACTCTGAACAATGGTTTCTGCCAAAATTTATAGCAGTATAAAGCTGAAAGCTTTTAAGTGAAACATTAAGTCAGAACTGTCTGTAGACTGGCCACAGCAGCTCAGTCCTGAGCCAACTGATCTCAGCAAGTTTGAAGCCAGCCTGGTCTACATAGAGAGGATGAGGACCTCCTGGAGTGAGGAGGCATTATTTTGCCTATTGTACCTAGAACCCCAGTTTGATTGCTTAGTGAAACAGATAAGATTTTGAGCCATGGGGCTGGAGAGATGACTCAGAAGCACTGGCTACTTTTCCAGAGGTTCTGAGTTCAATTTCCAGCAACTACATGGTGGCTCACAACCATCTCTAGTGGGATCTGGTGCCCTCTTCTGGCATAACAGTGTGCCAGTGTGCATGCAGATAGAGCACTCATACATAAAATAGATAAATAAATCCTAAAAAAAAAAAAAAAAAAAAGATTTTGAGCATTTGTTACCCAGGCCTGTAGCCCCAGCACTTGGAAGTAAAGTAGAAGAACTGCCACAAGTTCTAGATGTGTGTCATCCACACACCAGAGAGTCCAGCCAGGACTGCATGGCAGTGTTTATTCACTTGTTTGTTTATGAAACTGTATAGACCAGCTGGTCTCGAACTCCCAGAAGTGGCGTACTTCTGCCTCCAAGTCCTGGGACTAAAGATGTTCATCACCACTGCCCAGCTTGAAGAAAAGATTTAAGTGTCTCTTAATACATATGACTAAATTCCCTTCCTGACATGTGAGACAGGTGCAAACTGGCTTTGCCACCCCTTCACCAGCATTGGGTTTCATGATTTCCTTCCTTCCTTCCATGGTTGCTGGTTACCAGGTGACATTTTGGTATTACATTTCTTGGATTATCAATAGATTGTTTTTTTCAACAATCTATGAGAAGAAGGGTGGTGGTCATGATTGGTGAGCAAATAACTGCTTCCACACGCACTTACCAAGTATGAATGGGGGCTGTGAAGGAGGAAAAGATGTTAGGTGGGGTCCATGGGAGTGAGAGACAAGCAGGATTGGATATGGAGATGATGAGATGACAGAAGTGACCTGTGCTGGGCTGCAACTGTCCCAGAAGCTGCTGGTATTGACCCTGACCTTGGCTTTGCAGGTGGCTTGCTACAGCTGCACATCTCGGCAGTGGTCAATGGTCTGCCCACTCCCAGCTGGGCATGGCGAACCTGGTATTGCTGTTCTAGACAACAGGATATATGTGCTGGGTGGCCGTTCTCACAACCGAGGCAGCCGCATGGGCTACGTGCACATCTACGACATAGAGAAAGACTGCTGGGAAGAGGGGCCTCAGCTGAACAATTCCATCTCAGGCCTTGCAGCCTGTGTGCTCACCCTACCCCGCTCCCTGCTCTGTGAGCCACCCCGAGGGACCCCCAACCGTAGCCAGGCAGATGCAGATGTTGCCTCTGAAGTGATGAGCGTGTCGGACTGGGAGGAGTTTGACAACTCTAGTGAGGACTAGGGATCTCATGCCTAGTGTTTAGGAGTGGGTAACTGGGACAGTGAAAGCCATAGGGCCTGGGTCCTGGTTCACCAGCTGCCCTTTTTCACTCTGTTTCTTCAGCCAGCCTGCTGCCAGCATTTTCAAACTCTATGGCTATGAGTTATATTACAAGGAAAAGCTCTCCAGAAAGGCTGCTATCATCTGAGGGAGTGACCAGGCCCATCCTCTGTGAACTTTGAAGGGCTGGTATCTCTATTTGGCCTCTTCTTCCTCTTAGTCTGGTCTCTGATGGGTTAAGTAAGGTCCCTCCTGCAAGAGGTCCTGGGGGCTAGCAGTCCTAGCCGTGGCCAAAGTTCATGAGTTCCTTCTTCCTGTGACCCACATGGTCTGGTGAGCAGCTCCAGCTGCCTGCAGCCAGGGCCTTGAGCAGCTGGCGAGCTCTCAAGGGACAGGGGAAACTATATACCTGGAACTGGTCCCAGAGATGATGAGATACCCCCATAGCTGTGTGTTTCTAATCCAATTTTGTTGAAAATGAAATAAAACATTATATAAAAGGTGTTGTGTCTTCTGTGGCCACAGTCTGGGTTTCTTTCCTCTCCAGTCAGTGCATATCTGAGTGGTATCTAGGGAGGCAGAGTTTTCAGATCAGCTGCCCTGGGGATGGGCTTGGCATGGAAACTGAGGGACCACAAGGTCACTACCCTGCTTTGGACATCTGATGAGCTCCCCAATCTGAAAGAATGTTGGTTACAGAGACCAGGACCTGCCCCAACAGAGGTGGCAAGTAGCTGCCTTTCTCTTAGTCAGGACATCTAGTATGTCTACCCTGTGTCTCACTCAAGTTCCTGGGCAGCCTGCCTCTGGCTGGTGCAGACTGGCTGTGGTGCTGAAGGGGTAACCGAGTCTCATTCTCCTTGGAGAGCCCAGGATGGTTCAGTTCACTGGATTCTTAAAGTAGAAAGCTCTGAGGGCTGGGGTGCCGCTCAGTGCTGGGGCACTTGCCAAGAATATGATCCATTCACGAAAATGGAAAGGCAGTGTGGGACAGGACAAGAATGACCTGGTCTGTCCGGAAATAAATCTAAGGTACAAGAGGAGAGGTGGCACAGGGCCAATTGTGGGTGCCTATATAGGACTTTCCCACCTGACTTCCCAAAAGCTTGTCAGATGACCCTTGGGTAACCATCTTGGAGGCTGCATTGGCAAACAGGTGAGAGCTCTACTCAACTTTACCAGAACCTCCCTACCCCTTTGGGAGCTGTCCAGCATGACCTGTGCTCAACATGGGTGCACTCAGGGTGCAAGCATCAGTCTTGTTTCCAGAACGCCTTTCCTGCTGTTTACTACAAGGTCTTCAATTGCAGATTCCTATCATAGGCCACAGGCCTCCTGCCAGGAATGGACAGCTGGGCAGAGGGAACACCCAGGCTTCTCACTGGTGTTCTTTCAAGGAAGGGAGAGTACAAAAGGGTGGTGTGGTGGAGGGATGGGCTAGAAAGGGTAATCGGTTGCTCTGGATCCCTGAAGGCAGTGGGTTGGAGACCTGGAATTGATACCTCCCAGCAAGCCACATCTGTGTTAGGATCTTGGGCCCTTAGAGAAGCATGATATCACACAGATACCTCAGGGTGACAAATCCTCACCAAATGATGACACCTGCCTGAAGAGAGCCATTTCCTCCTGTGTCATCTCCCCAGTTTTAAATAGGAACACCGTTTAGCAGTTCTCAGTACTTTGTGCATCCATCTCCTAACACGATTGTCACCCAAGCCAATGTGACCAAGATGTACAGAAGGATCTGGTTGCACAAAGGGGTAGAGGATACCCTCTGAGCTCAAACAGGTCTTTCTGGTCATATATTCTGGCCCTGTCTGCATTGCACTCTCACGACAAGAGCTACCCTTGGTTTCATCTCAGTCCTATGTCCCCTGCCTGCAACCACAGGAGGGTGTGAAGTCTCTGATGTTCCCCAGTGCCCAGTGTCACTACTCCCAACCTCAAACTGTGGACCAAAATAGACCTTTTTAATATTCTCATTTATTGTTCATGGAGGGGGCGTCAAAGTAGGGTTTCTGTGTGGCTTTGGAGGCTGTCCTGGAACTAGCTCTTGTAGACCAGGCTCGTCTTGAGCTCACAGAGATCTGCCTGCCTCTGCCTCCTGAGTGCTGGGATTAAAGGCATGTGCCACCACCACCACCCGGCTCCTTATTGTTTTTTGGAGACAGGATCTCTGTGAATACACCCTGGGTGTATTAGAACTTGCTATGTAGGTAGAAGAGGGTGGCCTCAAACTCATAAAGGTCCTGTCTCCTGAGTGCTGAGATTCAAGGCATGCCAGCACCAACACCCAGCTAAAGTTTTCTTTAAGTTGCTTTTGTCAACATGTTTGTCACAGCAACAGGGAAAGTAAGACAACATCGAAAGTCACCACCCACAGTCATCTTAGGAGTTGGACCTACAAGGCTGCAATGTGCGCCAGGTACACAGGCAGGAGCCCACCCTGGCTTAGGAAGGTGGGTAAATGGGGTATATGGGTGACACTGAAGGCCTGTCTAAGGAGGGGTTCATGCAGGTTGTGCCTTCACAGACTTCAAGCTTGGGAGTTAGTCTATGGGAAGAATGTAAGTTGATGCCATTGGAACTTGGCCCAGCCGAGGTTTCCCCTCAGGTCCAGTGAGGTCAGTATAAAGCCTGGGGTGAACACTGCAACCACAGGAACCTCTGCTGGTGGCAGCCTTGGGAGACTCCTTGGGGAGGGCACTGCTGAGGACAGGGCTCAGGCTCAGCTTCCCAGAAGTGGTCAGCTTATTGACTTGGGCTGAGAAGTGTTTGCATTTGTGACCACATGGGAAGACTTCCTTTTACCTACCTGACCTCCTCCTTGCACCACCAGCCTAGCCAGGCTGAGGGCTGAGAAAAGGACTGAGGTCCCCCACCCCATCCCCAGCCTGCTAACGCCTATGGCCTTGGCCTGTCCATTGCTCTGGTTCCAACTCAGTCCTCCAGGCTTGCTTTCTACACCACCTGCCCCTGATACTCAAGGCACCTTCTGCTTGCTACCCAAGAGTATATTGTCTAATTTTCCCTTCAAGCAGACAAACTCCTTGATGGGACCTGGCTGTCAATGGGATACAGCCTACCTCCTGAGCTCTCTTGCTTTGTCTTTTTTGGACCTGTACAGCTCCAATCCACTCCTCTCTGACCTGGACTGTGGTATTGTGTTTGGCTATCCCTGGTTGAAGCCGGTGATTCAAGGCAGTGATGAAGCTAGAACTTTACTGAGAGTAATAAAGTGTCAACAGAAGGTGCCTGCCCTAAGCCTCCCTCCTGTCTAGGGGTCTCATCGCCAAGCTTATGTAGAGACTTGGGAGGAGGGTAGCTTTAGTCATGGCCAAGTTGGCGCTAGGATGGGCACTTGATTCTGCAGCTCCTTTTACAGGCATGCTGATATCATACTAAGGTCACTGGAGGTTCCTGGTGAAGGAAACTTACAAAACTCTCAGAAGACTTCTTGTTCCCCTTACCTGATAGAGCCTGAAAAGCAGGTTTGGTAGAGACAGATCAAACTACTTAGTAGCCTCTCTATGCCTGCTTGTCCTGAGGTAAGAAGGGTCTCTGGAAAGAGATCCAGGTAGCTGGAAGCCAAGGAATAACACAAAGTCACCATAAGCGAGGGGCTCACGGTCCTCCAAGTAAAGGGTTCCCCAGTGTAACAACTCTGCTCAGGTAGGGGTTTCCCCAGCGAAGTCATTACTTCGCTGTATTCCAGCAAAAGAAAGTCACACCCAAACCTCTTTCAAGAGATGTATTGGGAGGGAAGAATCCAGGAGGGTGGCTGCCTCTGCCAGGGTGGAAGAAGACAAGAGCAAATGGGACAGGCACAGGGCTTCTTAGAGGCAGAGTTTTCCCAGGGTGAGAATTGGTCAGATTCCGATGCCTAAGCTTGGACGAGCTCAGAGATTGGCTAGATTTCGTGCTCAGGGATTGGTTGGGTTTTGTATTGAGTAGGTCGGGGGCAGAGTGTTTCTTTCATAGGCCTTGGGTTCAGGGCCAGGATGTTTCTTTGGCTGGCCCCTTTACCCTACAGTGTCTTCCATTCGTCAGTCCTGACTCCACTTTCTGGAGTTTTCCCTCTTGGGAGCTAGTAGCCTTCTTGAGTTGAATCCATGTCCTGGGCACCCCAGTTCCTCTTTACCCCTTAACTGGGCTTCCGGGTTTCAGTTTCCACCTCCAATGTCTTCTTCCCTGTCTTTGCCTCCACATCGTATCAGAGACCTAGGCTGGTTCCTTTTGCTCCCACCTCTCTGGTATTTCCCTAGGTCTCCAGTGCATTTCCACGGATCTTTGCCTACATCGTGCTAAGTCGTCTGTTGCATGCTGCAGGAGATGTTGCTCACACAACACAGGACAACTGGGGTTTCTTGGCCAGAACCCGAGGCCAGTGTGTGTCCCAGGGCCTTTGCTGGGCCCCCTCACTCCTGGGCTTGGCGGCTTCAGGGCTGTCTAACGAGGGGGGAGGAAAGGCGCAGACCAAGACTCC